AATTATAAAACTTTCATTAAATATTTGTGGAGCTCGAGATACAAATTATTATTATATCCATAATAAGATTTTTTTAAATTAAATCATAAATTTTGCATAATAATATTAATAAGGGCAGGCCATGGTAGATAAACCGCCTATGACCTGCTCAATCAAAAGCCAAAATTTAAAAGCTCAAAATATTTCTTACATGAGCTAATGATATTTCAATTAGACGTAATTTGCAAAATAAAATAACCTTTAGTTACATTTCATTATTAAAATACAATTATATTTTGGAGCTCATATATTATTTAATGTAAATTTATGCATATTTTAAACAATGTTTTTTATTTATTTTAAACAATTGTTTGCCATGACAATTACAATTTTTTAAAATTGTTTGCTATGGCAGTTTTCCTATAAGACATACTTTATTCTTATTATATAAACAAAAATTATTTTGTAATACGAACTCACACACAGGCAAATATAATACTAATATCAGATATAAATATATAATGTACCGAATTTTTCCAGTAGTTATGGATCAAACCATATCAATAAATTTAGTAAATATCATAGTTATATATTTAAATGAAATCAATTAACTGCTTTATCATAATGACAAAAACATATAAACTGCTGTTTGTAGAAAATGCAACACCATGAAAGAATCATCAGAATCAAATGAAATTTAATGCAGAGACGACTTGTACTGATACAAATAAATGATGAAATTTTCAAAACAAAAGAAACAAATTAAGCGTCCGAAATCAGTATTTGGTGCAGCCACCACGCGCTGCAATAAGTGCTGCTATACGACGTGGCATGGAGTCAAACAGATGTTGAATATCTGCTTGAGGAAGAGAATTCCATATCGCTTGTATGCGCAACCAAAGTTCGTCTTTGGAAACTGCAGGACGCGGATCACGAGTGAGACGCCGACCAACCATATCCCACACGTGCTCAATAGGCGACATATCCGGCGAATAAGCAGGCCAAGGAAGAAGTTGCATGCGTTGTGCTGAACNCATAAACAATAAAGTGGTTTGATCAATGGTTTTTGCACTCCGATTCTTCTGTGTAAGAAAGATGAATAAAAGATGGGAATTCAATCTTTGTTCTTTGAAACAAAAGTGCTGACTCAAAAGTTTTCAAATGCATTACCAAAATACTAACAAAATAATAGCTTTTGAGGGTTTTTATTTTGAGCCTCAATTCCATTTATGGGTTTCTATAAAAATATTTGTTTAAATAAAATATTTCCAGGAAGATTTTACTTGGTCTTACAGTAAATGGTCATTCAATTTGAAAAGAAAAGTTTTTGTTTTTACAGAAATACATTTTTCAGCATTGCAAATTATTATTTTAGCAAACTTTAGACATTCATTTGAGCCATTTAAATTTTTAAAAAAAATTAATGAAACATATATTGAAGAATTTGTAACTAAATTTAAAATATAATGCACATTAATTCCGATTTTAATAAATATTTAATATGTTGCTTGATATTAATAGTGTAGTTAAAAGATACATTAATACAAGCATCAAAAGGGAAGGGTCATTTATATGGTAAGACCCCATACGCTTATTGGTCAACATAGAAAGTTATATGATATTCATATGGTGGGACAGCATCGATATGATCTGTTTAAAAGAAGTGCCATATCCATATGGCAGACTAATGGAAACAAACATGCATTAATGGAAACAAACATGCATTCATTTCGAAACAAACAGCGTGTGTCATTCATATAAGAGAGCGGACATATTTTACTGAAAGAAATTGGTGTATTTTACAGCAACTCCGGTCCAGATAAATTTTGAGTTAGTTGAATCAATCCACCAAAAATAGTACTTTTCAATAAAGTTCGCCCTATTTATAGAAATTTTTAGTTATTTTAAACTATTTGCGATTATTTCAATGAAAAATAACATTTCAACTTAAAATTTCCACTGCCGATAATTCGACGGCAGGGCAAGCACGTGACGCCGTTAACTCACAGGAGTATGGTTTGGACAAAGAGACTTAGAATTGCTTATTTTATTTTATTCCTGTACTTAGTTATTTATTTTTTTTCTCAAATTTCTGACCCAATCGATTTTTAAATTTCGAGAGATTAATCAATTTTCCTACTAGTTTCGATAAAAGTTTACTAATTTTCTTCAAACTTTATCTATTTTATAAATAACTAGATAATTTAGAACCAAATTAGCTCTCGCTCTTACAATAATGTTATGTAAATTTCGCAAACATCAAATGTTAGATTTTGTGCCTTTCAACAATACTCTGCTCAATATTTGATCATGTGATTGATTTTAGAATAATGAATACTACAGAACCACCAAATCAATATGTCCATTCCATTCTTTTTTCATTATTCATATTATAATCTTATTCAATTTGGTCTGAAAGATTTAAATTACCCTGGTACTGTCCGGCAAGGGTTCTTTGCCATCTTACATATTTATTTTCTTTCCTCATATCTATAATAACTTAATCTCTCAGCTTAATTTCTCATATTATAATTATTCTTGTAGCATAATCTTTCTTGTTAAAAGCAACAAAAGCTCACTTTAATTCAATGACCCTTGTTTATTATTGACTACGTATAAATTTTCGCATATATAGTAGTAAAATAAACTTTCATATGAAATTTCATTCCAATATTCATATATGAAATTTCATGTATTTTATTTTTCTATAACAAATAGAAAAAATTTTTCAAATGCTATAGCACACCAAAATTTTCTGTAAAAGCTTTTTGATGTAAAAATTGTGCAAAAGGATATCCCTATTGAGAGGAAATTAGGTGTGGTTGGAGATGTATGGTATAATTGACTAATTGAAGATTGTGATGAAAATAACAGTTGAAGGAGGAAACTGGATCATAATTATAAAACTTTTGTTAAATATTTGTAGATCTCGAGATACAAATTATTATTATATCCATAATAAGATCTTCTAAGTTAAATAATAAATTTCGCATAATAATATTAATAAGGGTAAGCCATGGGAGACAAATCACCTATGAAGTGCCCAATCAAAAGTCAAATTAAAGAGCAATTGAATTGTTCCCAATGAGGAACAATTGTTAAGTTTGAAAAATACCCTGGCGCTCGAGAATCGCTACCAAGACTGTGAGAATTAGCATAACCAAGTAACTGAAACATATTTGTGGTAAGAAATTGAAGAATAGCGAGTTATAAATAGATTTTTGTTTTCGATTAGGCGATTCTCGAGCTCCAGGGTATTTTTCAAATATTTCGATTAGTCTACATTAGTATTGAAATAAAAAGTTAGCCTTTACAATGATTGATAAGAAAAGAATAAACTATTTTATGCTTGCCTTTTATAAATTTTAATTAAAATTAACCAATTGATTTAATTCAATTATAATTAGATTAAGAATTATTAGAAAAATAAGTTTAAGAAATTCAGGAAATTTTAAAGGCTAGGAAATATGTAATGCCTATTGTGGCATCACAGCCCCAATGTGGTTTTACCTATGGTAAAATTTTACCATGCGTTTTTCCTATGTATGAAAAGCGAAAATTTACCATATGCGCATGGTAATTTGCTATACGCTTATAACAAAACTTTTCATACGTTTATGGCAATGATTATCAAACTTATTTCTTTTACCGCCCCTTTTGAAAACCAATTATTTTTTAGCACCCCCCATTTTTTATACACCCCTAAAACTTAAAAACCACAATTTCATTACTTTAATTAATTTAGTTTATTAGTCGGTTCTGATGTTTAAACTTACATTCTAAACTAGAAATTTTTACCAGTGAGAGCAAGTAAAACCCAACTTTATAATATTAATAATATATTTAAATCAAAACAAAAGAAACAATACAAATATGTAATCAGTTTTCGTTTTTATACTAATCTAATGAGATGGATGAATTTGATGATATTTAATAAGTTTGTTGATATCAGGCTCGATTTTACTCAAAAACAGTCGTAAGTCGCCGCGTTTGGTAACTTGCAAATTATTTCTCCTTTTAGTAAGCAGCGTTGTCACAGCGCTAAATCCACGTTCACACAAATATGACGATGGGAATGCTATCAAAAATCGTTCAACGATAGACCACAATCCAGGGTACAACTACGGAATTGACTTTTGTAGCCAAAATTGTTGGTAGCCATTTTTGTATTTTATTTTTATTTCCTGTCAGTTCTATAAGTTCTTCTTCCAACTGGGGTGATATTGCTATGTTGACATTTGAAAAAGGATCTAACACCCAGTCTGGAATTTCCAATTTCAAAATTTCCTGGAATCTTTCAATAAAATCACTGTGAAGATTTTCCAAATGTTGGCAGTAGACGAGCAAGTCGTCGTTGTTGCAGGATACTGATAAATTGGAAAAATTATGGAACTCACGTCTGCCGATATTCTTTTTGCGTAAGAGCAGCTTGGCTACGAAAGCAGAGACGACATTTTTTGTTTTTATAACGTTCAAGTCATCGCCTTAAAGTTGGAGATTCATATCATTAAGCAATGTATAAAAGTCTGGTAGGTATGCGATATCATTCTTTGATGTGATGAGGTCTTCGCGCAATTCTGTGTCTTCTTTTTCCAAGAACTCTATGACAGAGTCAAACAGATTGTAAAAGCGAGTCAGACAATTTCCTTTTGATGGCCAACGCACTTCTCTGTGAAAGATCAATCTGTTGAAATCTTCATCATTATCAACACAAAGCTGATTAAATAATTTGTCATTTAAAATTTTGTTTCGGATTTTATTGACTGCTCTTATGACATGTTGCAATGATTGAAATAGTCGTTCACTTAAATTTCTAGCAACTAAATGCTGTCGATGTATAACGCAATGTACAGTAAGCACATCAGGAATTTTCTTTTTTAAGTGCGATATGAAGCCTTTTCACACCCCGTCATAGCTGGAGCATCATCTGTAGCAGCTGATATAATATTCTTCAACGGAATTCCTTTTTCATCACAAAACTTTTCCAGTGTTTTAAATACGGTTTCTCCTTTCGTGTCTGTCTATAAATTTCTAGTAAATAAAAGTTCTTGACATATTTTTTCATCTTTAATAAATCTCACGTAAGCCAACAACAATGCTTCATTAGTTGGTAAAGTGTACTCATCCAACTGAATTGAAAATTTACTAGTCTTCAGATGATTGCACAATGACTTTTCAATGTTTTCAGCCATTTCATCAGTTCGTCTTTGGACAGAACTATCACTCAAAGGAATTTTTCGAATTATATCTGCCGCCGGTTTATGGAACACAGTAGTTATAACTTCTTTTATCGCCGGCAAAATTAACGTTTCTCCGATGGTGTGTGGTTTACCTGTTTCAGCAATTAACAGAGAGATATTGTATGAAGCTCGAAGTCCGTCATAGTCTTGCTTAGCAGCCATCGAAAAAAGTTTCGATACACTTGGCTGAGCATTATGCTTCTTTTCCAGATCTTGAAAATAGGCTACATTTTTGTCCTTCTTATCCGGATGCATTTTATTCAAATGATCTTGAAGGCTTCATCGCTTCGTTCTGGTGCAATGTAATTAAGGTAAAATTGCTCTAATTTTTTAACTATCATCGATCATGTTCCTTTATCTATCCGCAGAAACTTGTTACAACTTGATTGCGTACGGTGTGCGGGCTATCCTACGAAATCTATGTTAAGTATTTTAAGTTTTTATAACATCATACAGGGTAGAAATATAAACTAATTATTCGTTATTGTGTAGTAG